AACAGTTCGAAAGGTCTGCAACTGTTTTAGTATTTATTTATTTTTTCTTGCATGAAAAATTTGCAAAAGAAATTTATTACACTTGTTTGTCTCCGTCCAGTTAGCCTCATGTGCTACGCAAATAAGTACACAGGATTATGCAAAAACACAGAAAAATTGKTTGAAAAGTGTTTGTTTTGTTACTTACTACTAGACCAAAATAGCGGGACCACACATTAGYGCGGATTTTAACAATAATTGTACCTCCGACTACTACTCAARCGTCAAATTCCCCGGTATTTCCCTTGGGTCGRGGTGYGGAGGTTTCAATTGACTAGTGCATTACGGATGCAGAAGATTTGAAAGAAAAGAWGGAGMATTTYCCTGTAAAACCATTAAACGTTAAAGTATCCAAACAAATCCGCAGATTTTKAAGATGTAAAATACCATATAAGTACCAGTGTGATAATTTGATCCCACAGTTACTAACCATGAATATCCCTTTTTTAGACTAAACAACGCTACTGTTAGGYATCTATGGCTACTTAATATTACTCACAAGTGAAAGAAAGCAGTGAAAGTCTCAGTGCGGAAAGGTCGTAATTTGTATTCATAGGATCATGCTTTCTACTTGCATTTTGACCAAAAGACGTGTATTGACTGGACTTTTAATCTTTGGAACTATCCTTTACATASTTTGCGTTAATTTTGTATTGAAAAGAAATGTTTTCCAAAAAACGTTTAAAACTTTTGRTGAGTTGAACGAAAAGGATGAGAACGTAACTACATTTAAAGCGATCGAAAAGGACAGCAMTGATAACGTCAGTACGTTTGACAATAATGCTAAGCTCAAGAAAAACAAGAGACCGCCACAGACCATGCCACCATTGAAGAATGGGTTTCAGCTCGTCTTTCCTCATATTGAGCCAAAACTTTCTCCTGAAGATCAAACCCTTTATTTAGTTGTAATGGTGACTGGTTCAGCAAAGGGTGAAGATCACAGAATTTTGCGAAAAACAATCCGTCAAACGTGGGGCGATACAAAGTTATTAAATATGGACATGACAAAAAAGTGGAAGATGTTCTTTTCTCTGGCCATCAGTGATAATCAACAAGATAATGAAGCGAACGAGAAAGAAGCAGTCGAATACAATGATGTGATCATAGGAAACTTCTCGGAAACATACCTAAACCTTGTAAGGAAAGTGTTTATGGGTCATTATTGGGTTATCAATAGATTGTCGTGCAGGTATGTTTCATCATCACTATGATATCATTCCTGCACCACAGTGCGTTGCTGTCGTATGTGTTCGTATTGTAACTGTATTAGTGTCTGGTGTAAAGGGGGTAATCTATATGGAGATCCGGATCCAGGAGTTCCATCAAGGTACCGTAATACGAGCAGCAAAATGGTCCAACTTGTCTCTCAACATTTCTGCAAAACAATTGGCAAAGCAAAACATTTTTCGCAGAAAGTAGAGTTGCGGGTATTAGGCCACAACAACCCAACTTGTCTCGCATCAAAATGACGTCGCCCATAATCAGCTGACTGGATTGGCCAATCAGAAATAAAGATTTGCTCAACCTGCAACAAATTATTTTGATGCGAGACAATTTGGATTGAAAGTAGTAAAACGCGCAACATCGCTTTGCCACTTGTTTTGCAGCAATGTTACGAGACAAGTTGGACGCTTTTGCTGCTCGTATCACTGTACCTTCAGGGAGGGTTGCGGTTCACTCAACGGCTTACACCATTAAAAGTGTCACAAAGGGTAGAAAGTACGATCAAAATAGAAGGTCCCAGGAGGGCATCCACGATTAATTTAACGTAGCTGTCACTGTCACCATAGTGAATAGTGACTATTCATTAGTGTASGGGTTGAATGCAGTGCAGTGCTTACAGTTACCGTAATTTTCTGTTTACAGGTATGTTTTAAAGGCTGATGACGATGTTTATGTACGTGTTCCAAGATTAATATCATGGCTTGTCAAGTCTGGATCTCCCAAGTCTTTTTATGGTGGATACATTAGTTTRGMAAACGATGGATACAAAGGTATCATTCGTGACCCTAACAGTCCATGGTACGTGTCGTACGAAGAGTACAGCGAAACCTATTACCCACGTTGGTGCCGCGGCCCTTTTTATGTGATATCTASTGATAATATACCTAAATATCTCGATTATCTTCACATTAGAAATCCATTCAAGACCGAGGACACATACACTGCTGTAATATCTCATGAACTCGGTATCAGTGCCACTTTCATACCTGGTTTTCAAATTATTTTTAGCAGACGTAAGTATTCGTCTTCTGAACTCAACGAGTTCATGACTCTTGGCCATAGGTTGCTGGCTATTGATCTAAAAAGCTATTATGACTATTATGTACGGAATAACTTGACTAATRTGTAGGTACAGCGAGGGTGTAAGCAGTCTTTAAGGCCTACTCCGGGACCCAAAATCGCTGTAACATTGGGCGACTTTGTGCGATTTTAGGCGAATTTGGMAAATAAAAGTYTAGTACATTTTGTGCGACTTTAGGCGATTTTCAGCGATTTTGGGCGACTTTAGGTGACTTCCAGCGATTTAATGGGCTGAATGACTCAACTAAGGAGATATKATAGAATAAAATACTTTTGCAACAATGCCAAAGCTAATTTAATGATTATCARTAGAATGCAACTGTTCCCAGTTAATGATATTAGAGAGTTTTAGATACGCGTATATGGCGAACGCCAAACGTCAAAACTGATCACGTTGTCACTGTTTTTCTGYATTAACGCTCCKTTCTTTCGCGATTGTGTATAAAATAGATCACTTTTTCGTGCATAAGCTATGATATAGCTATGATATAGCATATGATGAAGCACACAGATATGTAGCTGGTTATCTTCTAGGGCTCAATTGCTGTTTCAAAGTGCATGAAGTAAACAAGTGTGATATCAATATTGAACATGATAAGATAAATACATTTATCATATAATTATCTTTGAAATACCTATATTTCTCCATTTCGTAAACTTGATATCTTCACTAGTGAAAATAACATRTTAYTTTCACTAGTGAAAATAACACATTYGAGGTTTCTCTATATAGTGAAAGTAAGAAAAAAGCTATTTTGACATAATTTGCTTTCGTATACAATTATATGATAAATAGAATATTACATGTTCGCTTGGAGATACGAATTTTATCTTCTCGTGTTGAAAATCTCTCACTCGTTCGCTACGCTCACTCGTGAGAGATCTTTTCAACACTCAAAGATAAAATCCGTATCTCCGCGCGCCCTTGTAATATCCTCTATGTCTTAAGGCACTGTCTAACGTTGATTAATTTATCATATAATAAAGGGTTATTAACCGAGCGCGAGGTCTGTACAGAAAAATATCGGACCGAGGTCTCGACTCCGATATTTTTCCGTACAGACCGAGCAAACGAGGTTAATAACACTTTTATTATATGACTTTTTTCTACATCGGAAAAGCAAACTGTAAACGGCGCGCGAATATCGATTGGACTATCGATTGGTCCAACTGAAGCAAGCAAAGCACATGGAATCAAATTGTCAAAAATGTGTGTTTTTTACACCAGAAAACAGATATTTCTGTTATAAAAACAATCTAAAATGAATTGCCATCAATGTCACAGAAGAACAATCATTTAAATGTCTCGAAAGATACTTATTTCGTGGAAAAACAACAATCGTGGGTCTTTCAT